CCATCCCATACTCAAATGCTGTCAAAAGACACTTCTTAACAGAGACTATGCTGATTCTACATATGGATCCACAGCTTCCCTTCAAACTCAACACACTATAGACAATCAGGGAGTAATGCAGGAAGGTCATTTGTACTCTGCTGACAGGAACATAAGAGACAGGGACATGTGCATCCACAGCAGCCTGTGTCTCTGGCCCCACTTCAGCATCTCACAACATTTCCAGCTTCACCTCCACAGACAGATAATCTGCCACAGAACGAGTGGAGATTAGGGGAGGAATTTACATTAATTGAAGACCAGAAAATGGGAAAGATGGGACAGCATTCTGGCAAGAAAGCTTTAATGTTAGCTTATCACCAGCTGTTGTTGTTTAGCTGGTTTGTTGTTGACTGCCTGGAGTTGGAAGCGCTGATTGTCCAGTCTGTTTACAGTAATTAAATAATAATGCTTATGCACTCCTTAGTGTGTTAGAGTCCTGACTTTTGTTCAGTAGATGAGGTTTGAGGTGAGGAGGAGGATGACATTTTAACGAGATACCAGTCATGCTGTCTCTTTCCTTCGCTTCTTTGGTGACAAGAACCCTCTCAGGTGATAAAACAAAGGTATGATCCTTCATATCTTGAGTTTGTCTTGCAGACTAAAGTGCTGAATTTAAAAAAAAAAAAAAACCTCTACAGATAACTGACTACCCCTTTAAAACTTTTGTGTTACATCTTGTGCATGATTTGGAGAAAGACCTGTTAAGACCTGTTTGGAGAAAGACCTAACTACTTCAATCTCTCTGGCTTTTTCTGAAACTAATTAGCATGTGTTTCATTGTGTTTATGTTAGATTACTCTGACAGATGTCATATAGGAAACCGACTCAGTGTCTTTAATAAATGCCAATGGCCAAACCCTCTGTAGTGGTTTGCTCTCTTTTTTATCATCTCTGTTTTTCTTTCTTGAGGAAAGAGGAATGACTCACAGTGTGCATTAGCAGTGACCTGTACGGAATAAATTAGCTGTGTCATAAAGGTGAGTCCAAGAGCAGATTAGACTAAAACATTATAAATATTAGCATTATGGCAGAAAAACAGCCCACCTTGCGGCCACTTCATGCTCCACTTTGTGGTTTCAGGACACGACTTAAGCAGGTCAGAGGTCACCTTCCTGGGGACAGTCTCTCTGGAGTTGATGATTTTCACTTTACCTTTGAAAAGATGACATATTATTATGTTAAACCCCAGCAGGGTTGAGCTAAGAGGAGGGAGGGTGTCTTGTTACCGGAGCTGTCCATCACAGTGAATATGACCCCGCCTCCGATCCCTGCGCACTGTGGGTTGATGATGGAGGTGCACAGCAGCGCAGCAATGGCAGCATCTACTGCAGAGCCGCCTTTCTGAAGAATGTCCCTAAAACAGTTCATTGTTATCACTTTAGTGTTATTGTTATCATGTGTGCACAATTAATTTAATTTTAATCTTTATTAAAATTATAATGTCCCACAATTAAATTGCCATGACTGAATAACACGACGATGTGTTGTCTTCGTTGATGCATGTGCTAGGGATGCACAGTTCACTGAATTTTAATCTCAATCACGTCCCACAATCAAATTAACCTAATCACCAGAAGACACTGCAATAAGCTAGAAATGAAGGTGGCATGGCTCTCCAATGCGCCAATGACTTGAAAATTATTATAAGGCTGCACAGCTTAGAGTCCTGATAGCATGGTGTGATCCGACATGTGATGCCAGGTGG